ATATATGCCAATGTCATGGCAAAGTAGTAAAACAACAGGGAAATTGTGCAAACCCTAACCCGAATAAAATGGAGGTGAAGGTATGCAAATTGCTCTAGTAGGAGACAATTGCTCTTGCACACTTGTTCAGGACTGAAAATGAAATTAAAATAAATAGTGAATGCATCTGGTACACTCTCCACTTTCCTTTCTTCAACAGGGCACCAAATAGGAATCATAGAATCATAGAACAGTAGAGTTGGAAGGGGCCATGAAGGCCATCAAGTCCAACCCACTGCTGTTGCAGGACACCACATTACACCATCCTGCTCAGATGGCTGTCCAGTTTCTTTTTGAATGTTTCTAGTGTGGGAGAGCCCACCACCTCTCTAGGCAGCTGGTTCCACTGTTGTATTGCTCTGACTGTGAGGAAGCTTTTCCTGATGTCCACCTGAATCTGGGTTATTGCAATTTGAACTGATTATTTCATGGCATCAGCAAGAAGAGATCTTGACCTTCCTCTTTGTCACAGCCTTTGGGGTACTTATAGAGGGATATCATGTCCCCCCTCAGTCTTCTCTTCTCAAGGTTGAACATGCCCAGTTCTCTCAGTCTTTCCTCATAGGGCACTGTTTCCAAACCCTGGATCATTTTAGTTGCCCTCCGCTAGACCCTTTCTAATTTAACTGCATCTTTCTTAAATCTTGGTGCCCAGAACTGGACACAGTATTCCAGGTGGGGTCTGAGTACTGAGGAGTATAGAGGAACTTCTACTTGTCATGATTTGGAAGTAATACTTCTGTTAATGCATCCCAAAGTAGCATTTGCCCTGCATCACATTGTTGGCTCATGTTTAGCCTATTGTCCACAACTCAAGGCCTTTTTCTTGTTCGGTTGTGTTGAGCCACGTATTTCCCATCTTGTACTGATGCCTTTTTTCCCCAGGTGGAGGACTTGGCATTTGAATCTTATTCTGTTGCTTTCAGCCCAATGTTCAAATTTACCAAGATTGCCCTGGATCATCATTCTGTTGGCTATTCCACCCACTTTTGCATAGTCTGCAGAATTGATTATCTTTCCTTGTACTTCCTCATCTAAATCATTAATTAAGAACCCTGTGGCACCCCACTAGAGGTCTGCCTGGCGCCGTTGTTATTTGTTTTTCGGCGCCAGGCGAAGACCTTTTTATTTAAGCGTCATTTTAATTGTTAACAGTATTTGCTTATTTTATCTGGCCAGGGCGACTTATTTTATATTGTTATTTATTTTATATTGTTATTTTTGTATTTTACTTCTTGTTGTGAGCTGCCCCGAGGCTTCGGCGAATGGGGAGGCATAGAAATATTTTAATAAATAAATAAATAAATAAATAAATAAATAAATAAAGGTGCCATTGCTGAGCACTCTTTCTGTCCGATTTAGCAGCCAATTTTGGATCCACCTAGTAGTTTTTCCATCTAGTCCAGTTTTTGCTAATTTGCTTATCAGAAAGTTGTGAGGCACTATGTAGAAAGCTTTGCTAAAGTCTAGGAATATTATGTCCACAGTGTTCCCTTAGTCCATTTGGGTGGTTACCCGGTCAAAAAATGAGATTAAATTAGGAAGGAAAGTGAATTGCAGTAATGCTACTTAGATCACGTGAAGCATGATTTTCTTCACGGTGGTAGTTGGATGGGTCTTCAGCTGTTCTCAACAACCCCTGAAAAATCACCCAGCTGGTGTCAGATGTTGCAACAAGCCACCCTGAGAACAAGCTGCCCCAAATAGTTGTACTGCGAGCCATGAGTTCTCAGGGTGGCTCGTTTGTGAAGAACCACCCACAGCAGAAAAAACACCCTGGGGCTGGATTCACACCAAGGCACCCTGCAACCACCCATGATAACAACCCACTGTAGCTTTGTATGATGTGCAAACCAGGTCACCCTTGGCCTGCCGTGCACATATGTCTGGATTTCTGATCACCGTGCCCAACTTAGCATAGTGAGTGGGTGGTCTGGCTCAGTCTGGACCTGAGTGACCAAGTCTTGACAAGATCAGCAAATGGCCTAATTGCCTGCTGAGTCTTTTTGCATTCAGCCAGCTCCCTTAAATTTCTCTTGACTTCCTCTGTGCCAGGCTGAATTTCTTAAAGTGACCACATCATATTGTGCCAAATACCAGGGTGTGATTGCCTGTACATGCTGCGTGCCAAGCAGCTTGCCAACAGTGTAATGCATGAATACTGCTCATGCAGAAGCGAATGCAGTCTTACACTTGCCTTGAGGGCTGGCTTAAATGCTGTCTTGGCTTAAATGCTTATCCCAGGTCTTCCATCCTTCATTCAGAGAGGCTCACCCAGCTCTCTGCTTTGCAGGAATTAAAAGGAAAGGAGGCAAGTTGTAATATGTTCAGATCTCTCCACTTGAAACCTAAGGCTCTTGCTGTTGCTCCATTCCTTACCAGGTGCTCCTCATCTTGCTTGAAACAGCACCAGTTTTGAGAAATTGGCAGAGCATCCAATCCCTGGGACAGGGGCAAGAGAAAAGGAAGAAGGGAAGATCCACTTCCCACATGCTGGCCCTACCAGGATGTTTTCTGGGCCTGTGTTTTGTACAGCTGTTAGTCTTGAGATCACATAACCAACTGAAGAAGATGACAAGTCTTGTTCCTTCTGTTCCTTCCCCCACTTTTGACCCTGTTTCCTTAAAATAAGCAAAATGACAATTGCTCTTTGAAAGAGCAGATCTTTTCTAGAGCTGTATTACTAATTAAGATTCTGGTAAGCATTCCACATCAAAGCACAAAGACTGCCACTGGCCTCTGTTACTGAAAAGTTTCAAAAAAAAAAACCCCAAACAAACTAGGCTGTTCCTCTAATCTGGCCACTGGCTGGCTAACCACAATGCATTGCAAAAGTTTAGGAACACTTGTTTATTTTGAAGAATTATTCTTTTCACACAAAATGTATTTAAAAGCCACAACTGTGCTAATGGTAATCAAGCTTTAAAAATATTGTTGTTATTGCAAATTGCCATTCCCCAGATGTCCTAGAAAATGAACAGAGAAAGCCCATAACCTGATAGTAAGTTACTGGGTACCTTTTCATCACATAGGACTCAATTGTGGAAGGAAACCAGCAACTTCACACGATGGTGTGAAAGGGCTTTGTGCTGAGGCTAGAGGGAATCGTTGCCTTTTGGGAGAGGCTGTGGTTTTTTAAAGAGAAGGTGGCTTAAAAGATGGATTATTGCATGTGGTTTGTACACTCATCCAGCTTTTGATACCAGCAAAGTTTTGTCAGATTTTAGCATGGTTTCAAAAACCTCCAAAAAACTATTTGCCAGGGATGACTGCATGACAAATGAATACCTCAGGGGGCAGAGCCTCTCTTGAACCATTTTCTAAGGCCTTAAAAAAATCTTTAAAAGCTATTGGCTCTGTACTGGTTATCTTCACTCTACAAGGATCCAAGAAGTCTCAACTCCTGATCACTAGAAGTTTCACTCTGCATTTTTTTTATGGGCAGAGAAGGGTCATTCGTCAGTTTTTAAAACAGGTTGCCAATGCATTTATCAAATATATAATGATTAGACCCTCCAGTGTGCTGTTGGCCTGTTTTATGGATGATAGTCCTCTATATGAAGGAATCCTCTCCTTGATGGGTTAGCCAGTCCAAGTCTGGCTTAAAGTCAAAGTACCTCAAGGAGTGGGGACCAGGGCAGAGCCTTGAAATCAGCCAGCAAGAGTGCTCACCACCCAGCTCAGTCAGTCAGTCAGTCTTTCTCACTGGGGCAAGAGGCATTGTCTTCCTGTTTAAATTATACTCTGTCTAAAGGTGCATTTCCACATCTAAATCAACAACTGCAAACCTCATGCAAAGCAGTGTCCTTCACTCTGCTTTTTTGGTGATGCATTTGCTCTTTTTTGGCCATTTGTAAGTGGCCATCCTTTCAGACTCAGAGACCTTTTCTTTTAAAAGAAAAAACTGGCTGCTCTTATCAGGATTGTACAGACACTGCTGGGTTCCATCCAGGTCTGCTTCTTCTCATGGCTGTGGCCACAGCTTTCTGGGGCACCTTTAATGTGTCTTTCATGGGAAGGAGTCACTTAGGGGCAAAAGGATGGGCTGGACAAATGTACCTTTGAAAACTGCTTTGCCATCCTACATGGCAGAAGACTGCAGCAGGGCAGCTCTCAGCTGTGTTGCTTGCTCATTTGGACACCTGCTTTCAGGAAGAACCTATTAAATAGTTTTAGAGCAAGTGCTCCATCCCCTTTGCTAAGCAGCTACCTGGAACACGCAGCCTCCATCAAAATAGCTTCCTTCCAGCACTGCTAACTTTCAGACAAGATGTCTGAAAGTGATGCATCAGGCAAGAGCCAAACCACTTCCTGACAAACTCTTTGGTGTCTTGCAAGTATGAAAGAGGGTTACTTCGCAGGGAAGAGCAGTAGGAACCATTTCAAGAGGACTAGCACCCCGAGCAAAGATTCCAGGTACAGCCGTTGGCTGTTCCAGGGACTGCAGTGGCAGGTCAAGAATCCCTTCTTTCCCGTCAGTCTGCTTTCTTGCTTGGGAAAGGTTGAAACGTCCAACCCTTCAAGGTAATTCAGGTACTGCAGGGTTCTGTATACCCAAGAACTAGCAACAGCAACCACTGTAGCAAGCGAGTTATTCCAAGCTAAATAGAAAGAAAAAGGATGTGTTTTTCTCTGTTCAGTAAGGAGTTGCATTTAGCAGTACATCAATGCACACCCACACCCACATGAAAATATAATGAAGTTCTATACCAGCATTTTAATTAAGGTTAAAATGCTACTAAATCTAATAAAAATAGGGTAATTTGCTCCTGAGTAAAGTACGATGATTAAAAGCATTGAAATGTTGTGTGAGAAATAAAGCAGTGTTTCTGTTTGTAAAGATTCAGTGTGACACACAGCTTTCCCCCTTCAAGACCTCCTTTGCGCCTTCTTTGCCCACCCCAATATTTTAACTCTGGTGCCATCACTGCTTATGCCCATGTATTTCTCACTCCTTCTAGAAGAGCCAGTTTCAGTGGAGCAGAAACCCCTGGAGATAAGAGGTGAAATTATCAAGATTTACTGCAACTACATATCAAAGAGAGAAGGCATAAAGACTCTGAAAGCCATGCTGCTTAAAGGACATAATCAAACAGAAGTCTGCTCACTTTTCTGGAAAAGCATGAACCACAGCCGACAGAGTAATAATACTGAACTCAGCTGCCAGGTTCAGTTTCTCGAAGAAGAGAAGCAAATCATCTTCGACCTGCAGAAACTACATGTCAACCAGACAGACAATTACTTCTGCAAGATTGAACTCCTAGACCCAGCACCCTATGAAACCAGCACAAGCCACAGGGGGACGTTAATTCACGTGCAAGGTAAAAGCAGGAAAATGGTTTCCTGTGGCTCCCTTCACACACATCCCCATCCGCTGGGGCTGCGATGAGTTTTGGAGTGGCTGCTATATGCAGAGCTATCCAGCCGTGGCTACTTGCCATGAACGCCAGTGGATGGGGCACATGCAGGAGGGTGCTGGGGTATTCAAGTGCCACTAGAGGTTTTCCTGGAAGCAGCAGGTTGGCCAATGCAGGGACAGAGCGCAGGACCAGAGGGATGCATGGCCTGAGCTGGCAGGGCTCTTCTTAAGTCCTTCCGTTCACCTGCCTGGCAGAAGCCAGTGGTTTCTCAGAAAGCAGCAAGGGTCAAAAGACACGCTTTCAACAGCCTGCCTTGGCTGGCCACTTCTATGCCAAAGCGGAAACCTTGGGAAGCCCCATGGTGGAACACGCCTCCAGTTGAGATGGGGACCCCACCCCCATGCAGGCAGTTTCCTACTCAAAACTGTACTTTCTCACAGCTTTTTGCCCCTGCAAGTAGGTGAGGGGCATGTTCTGCTTCAGGGATCTTCGGGTACATTGGGCCAAAGCAAAAGCAGCCCACTTTAGCGCAGCCTTGAAATGCGCAGGCCGTTTGTGCTGCTCTCCACACTGCCGCTTGCATCGTTCCCTTTGCCTCCATTTTCGCCTGCAGGCAGTGACAGCTCTGTGGGCTAGGCAAGGCTGAGGGTCAGGGACAGGTCCCAGATCCCCCAGTGGCCCTCATGGCTGAGTAGAGAACACACCCTTGACCGTCAGAGTGCCAGGCCACCGCTCCCACCGCCAAGCCACACTAGCTTAAATCACTTCTCTGATGTATTTGTATATAACTCCATCTCTAGGCAGATCCCAGTGCCATGAACAGTATAGAGTTAAAACAGATAAAGGTTGTAATATCTAAATAAATGTATAAATGTGCACAGTTGCGGTTTGTGCAAGTATGTCTGAAGCTTCTTTCCCTCTGCTAAGCTCCAGAAGTTCACTGTCCAAAACCAGTAAGCATCTTAAGTATGGCTACAGCTATTGGAGTTCTGATGTTCTACGGTCTGGTAGTCACATCAGCTGTTTACCTCTGTTGGGTAAGGAACCTCTGCTTTCTGGGATTTTGGATGCCTTCAGTATTGGTGGTCCTGGGAGGGGAGCATTTTTGTGTGTGTGTGGGGGGGCAAAAACCTTCCCACTGCTGCTCTGTCCCCTGAGCCACCTACCCCAGGATGGCATCCCATTGTGTCATGCAGAGTGAAGAGCTGGCCCTCTCTCTAGATCAGGGACAGAGGACATGTGACCCTCCAGATTTATTTATTTATTAGATTTTTATCTTGTCCCATTAGCCATAAGACTCCCTGGGCAGGTTACAGAGTTAAAAAAAAATACAATAAAAATACAGACTACAGGTTCCATCAGTGTGGTGGCATCTTGTGTCGTCTGAAACCTCTTATTGAAATGGTGAGCTGCAACTTTAAGGATGCTTTCTGAAGAACCCATTTGCAGATATGGAAGGCCTTCATTTCATTTCCAGAGAGCAGGGCAGCTTTCTGTGCAGGCACCCCAGTGGTCACCTTGCAGTGTTCAGAACAGCTGCCATGCACTGACTGGAAGCAGTGATAACATGCCTGCATGCATCTTTCTGGTGAGAAGATACATGAGCTTCCAAAGCACCTGGTACAGTTTTCCCCAAAGAAGACAGCCCTGCATTAGGAGCTCATCTGTCCCTTGAGCAGAGAAAAATGCGCCCAGCAACTCCCTTGACTGATACGCAGAAAGCTGGGAAGCTGGTGCACAGGCTGTTGTGTGAGTAGAGTGCAAAGAGGATCTTTCGCCTCATACTGAGAATTTATTTATTTATTTAGAAGGCTTCTATGCCGCCCCATTTGCCGAAGCCTTGGGGTGGCTCACAATCATAAATAAATAAGCACAGTATAAAACAATACAATATGAGTCGACCTGGCCCGAAAAATAAAATAAAAAAATAATATTAACAATTAAAATAACGTTTGAATAAAAAGGTCTTCGCCTGGCGCCGTAAAACAAATAACGACGGCGCCAGGCGGACCTCTCTGGGGAGCGCATTCCATAGATTGGGCGCCACCTCAGAGAAAGCCCTCCGAGTACTTACCCTCCTAATATCCTTCACGGAGGGTTCCTGGAGAAGGGCCTCTCCCACTGATCTCAAGGGGTGGGTGGGCATATATGGATGTAAGCGCTCCTTCAGGGAACCAGGACCCAAGCTGTTAAGGGCTTTATAGGTCATAACCAACACCTTGAATTGGGCCCGGACTTCAATGGGGAGCCAGTGAAGCTGACGGAGAACTGGAGTCATGTGAACATAATGCCCAGTCCCCGTCAGCAGCCTGGCAGCTCTATTTTGAACCAATTGAAGTATCTGGACCGTCTTTAAGGACAGCCCCATGTAGAGCGCGTTACAGAAGTCAAGTCGAGAAGTCACCAACGCATGTGTCACTGCCATCAGGCAGTTGTTCTCCAGGTAGGGACGCAGCTCATGGATCAGCCGAAGCTGAAAGAAAGTGCTCCTTGCCACCGCTGTCACCTGAGCTTCCAGTGAAAGCTCTGGGTCGAGGAGCACTCCCAAGCTGCGGACCTTGTCTCTAAGAGGGAGTGCAACCCCGTTCAGGACTAGGATCAGGCTGCCAACCAACAGGATTTCCATCTTGTCTGGATTGAGCTTCAGTTTATTGGCCCTCATCCAGCCCATTACCTCGGCCAGGCACCGGTTCAGCACAGCCACTGCCTCACCTGGATTGGTGGAGAACGAGAGGTAGAGCTGGGTATCATCAGCGTACTGATGATTCCGCAGCCCACACCTCCTGATGACCTCTCCCAGCGGTTTCATGTAGATGTTAAATAGCAAAGGGGACAAAATGGACCCCTGCGGCACTCCATGGCATAGCTGCCATGGTGCAGAGCCATAGTCCCCCAGCACCACCTTCTGGAATCAGCCATTGAGATAGGAGCGGAACCACGGCAAAGCAGTGCCTCCAACCCCCAATCCCGCTAGCCGATTCAGAAGGATACCATGGTCGATGGTATCGAAAGCCGCTGAGAGGTCCAGGAGAACCAACAGGGACGCACTCCCCATCTTTCTCCCTGCACAGGTCATTGTACAGGGCGACCAAGGCAGATTCAGTACCGTACCCGGGTCTGAAGCCGGACTGAAATGGGTCCAGATAATCAGTTTCCTCCAAGAGTGCTTGGAGTTGTCCCACCACCACCCCCTCCAACACTTTGCCCAGAAATGGGATGTTGGCCACTGGTCTATAATTAGTGGCCATCTCTGGATCCAGTGACGCCTTCTTCAGGACCAGTCGGACTACCGCCTCCTTTAAAGGGGCAGGTACCCAGCCCTCCCTCAGAGAGGCGTTAACCACTTCCAAGATCCAGGTCCCTATCCTGTGCTTGGCTTTGTTAATTAGCCAAGATGGGCAAGGGTCCAATAGGCAGGTGGTGGGACGTACTCGTCCAAGCACCTTGTCCACATCATCAGGCCGCAGTAACTGAAATTCATCCATCAGTTTTGGACCAGACAGCAACATTGGTATTCCCTCTTCTCCTTACTGTTTTCCATGCAGAGGAAAGCCAAGAAGAATAAGATTGTTCGGAATGACTATTTGAACATGACTCCCTGGCAGTTCAACGGTCAGAAGAAGAGGCCCCATCAACCAGCTGTCCCAGCAAGGAACTACACTGCATACCGCTCCTGGGAGCCCTGACCACTGGCAAACCGTGTGGCCTCTTCTGCGCAACAGGCGATAGGAAAGAGATGGGTGGCTGTCACTGGACACAGGTGTCAGCAAATGAGAGAATTACAACCCTGGGGGTTCTCAGTGTCACAAAGGATAAAAGCTGTCTCTTAAGTTATGTTTCAAACTGTTGGTAGAAAAGAAGATAAAGTGAGATTGGGATGTACTTATAATCACGGAAACCTATTATTCTTTGCCGGCAAATGCTGGTTCCATCTGCGTTACTGATCTTTCCTGATCACATATGTCTCCATAGAATATAAATGTTAAAAAAACTGTACCAAAACTCCAGCAAGTCTACCAAGCAAAAAGCGGAGGTTAAAAAACCCCCTGTCAGTTTCCACATTAAAGGCAAAATGTTAAATTTAGAGTAAAACATTTGCCTAACAGAGTATAAGCATCCATCTTAGTTGGTCCTGGGCTATAATGAACATCATCTGTCTCAAATGAACTGTGTGATTAGCTGGAGGGCGTTGCAATGCAATTCTGCACATAGTATCAGGAAGGTGGAAGGTGCACATAGTATGAAGGAAGGTGAAAGGTGCAGCTCTTTGAGAATGTTCTTGAGATGTGCAGACTTTCATCAAACCTTGGACAGAGTCAAGGATGCTGAAGAAGCAGGTGAAGAAGTCCTCAGTGGGGGAGGAAGGTTACCTCACAGATGATCCAGATGTCACAGGCTTTCAATGAAATTTGTAAGCTGAGGGCAAGAAGTTATTTCATTTTCTGGCATCCAACATCAGCTGGATCCTCATCTTGGAAGCAAAAGCCTAGAATAAAAAAGAAAACGTCTTTCTTCCTTTCCTGGACTGATTCTGGCAAGTTTATATCCTGCCTCTTCCATCCTGGCATACTGTTATTAAAGATAATAATCAAAATTATAAATAAACAGAGACATTGCTTTTTCTTGGACAGTTAAGCGGGTACAAGTTCTAACAATGCCGTGGGGAGTTCATTGGATAATCTTGCTGAGCTGGAAGCCATCTGGGATGCTGTTGCAGCAGCATAGCCATTCCAGTGGAACCACCAAAGGCTGCAAATAGACGGGGCAGGTGGCACGAGGGTACAGCAAGGGCCAGGTGGCGCAGGACTTGGCACGGCCTTGCCGTGCAGCATCCCAGACTGCAATCAGTCCCTTTTGCATGTAAAGAAATTTATTCTCAATTCGTTGCATGAGTGCCCAGTTTCCTCTAGGCAGGGCTTCTGGTACAGGGAGATTACATTTTATTTTCTTACCACTGTATGTGGCCCGTCACATACCTAGAGAGAGCATATTTAATTGCAATTGTAACTGCAAAAGGCTTAACACGATACATGTCGGTTGTTTAGATCATATGGTTTCCTGGGAGTGGTAACGAGCTGAACAGCTCTCCCAGCCTCATCGCAGGCCTGTCACATGCAGGGCGATCATCCCTTTTGCATTGTTGCTGCTGAAGCATCACTTGCAGCGGAATTGAGTCATGTGGTCGAGATGTGATTAGCCCGATTCGGTGGGACAACCGATGGCAGCCCACTTCTGATCCACCTACACCATGGTGGCCCTGCATTCTTGGCACACAGCCAGGAGCTGTAAGAAAGACAATGCAAAAGGGAGGTGGCATTGCAGGACGGGCTTCCACAGCCAGAACAGCTTTGGCACCGGCTGCACGGAGCACCCTCACACCACGGAAAAGCACTGTTAAAGCCCTCTGACTGTTGTGGGAGAGCGTCAATACTGGAATGTGTGATGCAATTAAAGGCAAAGGTCCATCTTTCTTGCCCTGCATAGTCCACGGTTGTCTATGTGAGGAAGTCTTCCAGCCAGGGGGTGGCGCTGTTCCTGTCTTTGGTGCTTTGGGAAATCCAGCCTGGTCCATTCTTCCTGGAGTGATTCTAGTCTCTGGGAGCATAATGCATTATTCACTGGGTATACGCATATCCCAACAATCCATTTCCCGCCCTGCTCCCCCACTGTGCTGCCTCAGTGTGATGTCCTTGAGCAGCCTACCTCCCTTCAATCATTTTTATTTGCTAGTCTTCATGGCGGGGTGCAGGGGGCAGTATATTCCTGGTTTATTGCTTCCGCGCAGTGGATCTCTTTGTGGGCTCGGCATCACCCTGTCCTCTGCTGCGTGCCGAACAAGGCTTGCCATGCCGCCGGTGCGCTTTCAGGTTCTGTTACCAGCCGCTGCTTTTCCCAAGACGTTTGCAGCAGCTGTGCAGGAGTGGCATGGTTTCCGCCATTCAAGAGCAGCACGATGAGGGGGCTGAATGCTTCTTCATGCACTGGCATGTGCAGCATTTGCTCAGCCATGCTGTTTGCCAAACCTCTCTGGCTTGGAACAGGGGTTAGTTCTGCACTAAGCTAAACACGGCTTGAGAATCATTGCTTCCCATGCTATAGAGCAGGAGACCTCACACTTCTTCAACAGGGGGCCAGTTGAAAGGTGACGGCGATGGGCGCAAGCTGGTGAGGCGCAGGCATGGGCTGGTGAGGCCACGGTGGGAGTGCGCGAGGCGGTGGAGGGCGTGTGTGGCAGCGGCTTGCTCGCTTGGAGATCTCCCAGTGAGTGCAAAACCATCTCCAAGCAAGCAAGCCGCCACCTCGCTGCCCGCGTGGCGAGGCAGTGGCGAGCGCACGCGGGCGCAGGGAGTCCAAAACCTCTGAGGCGGGCTGGATAAATGGGCATGGTGGGACAAATGCGGCCCACGGGCCGTAGCTTGAGGACCCATGCTATAGAGCCAGCTGTGAAAAGGCCAGGTTTGCTGATGACACCACATTATTTTGCATTCTTGCGGCATGCAAACAGCTCTGGCAGGTTTTTGTACTGGTTCAAAACCTAAACCACCTGTTCAGCCAGAGGTAACAATGGAACAGAAGTGCATAACAGCCATGCTGGATCAGCCCCGAAGTCTGTCTGGTCCAGGGTTTTGCTCACACAAGGGTTAATGCACAGCCTTGGAAAGGGCACAAGCGGGGAGTGAGTGCAGCAGAGGCCTCCCAACCAAATGCCCCCGTGACTGTTGACTGGTGTAAGCAGTGTCAGGACAAATGAGCAAAAGCTCTGCCATAATATGGCCGCTGAAAGCCTGTAAGAGCAGCTTTAGACTTAAGTTGGGATTCCTGCTCTGATCAGGAATCCATGTTACAAGTCCTGCTTCCCATGTACACCTTAGAAATGTCAATGAGTCTGTCCTGCAAGGTCTTCTGTGGGGTGGGGAGACCTTACACAAGCTAATGTCTGCCTTTCCTGAATTTGCTTCTCTTTGTATTGTCTTAGTCCCATCCAATCCTTTTGTTTTCTTCTGATGTGCATGATCTCCCACCAGATCTGCCACCCCTCCTCCAAGCTGCATATGTAACTAATAGCTCATAAAAGCGTCTTGTGCAGACTCCATCTTGGTAGCCCCTTCAGGGGCTGCCTACATGCCACATGTATTTCCTGGGTGCCTGAATAAACGGTAAACGTTCTTTTGATTGTCCACTTCCAGCAGATGCTGCGAAAGGCCAGTTTGAACTGTTCACCACTAGAGAAAGCGAAAGGCACAAAATTAGGTAGTCATTAAGTGTGTGAGCTTTAGTGTCAGGAGTCTCCATAACAAACACCTTCCCATTTTGGAAAATGAATAGAACACAAGGCGCTGCCAAACAAAACGGACCGAAATCTAAACTGGACTTATCTTTTAAAAGCACTGCCAGGTGAAAAGCAAATCATGCTCATCTGCACATATCCTGCTTGTAAATTGAAGCGAGTGCAAGCTGCTCATTCCAAGAGATGCGTAGGAGGCTTATGCGTAGTTGCCAGATTGCCAGAAACTGCTTGTGAGTTCAGATTGAGAACCAGGAAGCACCACAGCTCAGTGGCAGAGTGCCTCTGCTGCAGGGCGAAGCTTCCAGGATATCTCCTGCCTCGTGCTGTGGTGGCCAGTCTGTGCTGACTAGACTGGGCTAGATGGCCGAAAGGTCCGACTCAGGTGAAGGCAGCTTCCTGTGCTCCCAAGCAAGCTAACCAAGAGTGGAAAACCTGCTTTCCTGTTTCTCACTGTTTTGAATTGAAATGCTCCATGGCCAGTGGTCAGAGTGGGAAGCTTGTTCAGACCAGCCAGAAGCCCATTCTAGAGCAGTTCCTGTTGCAAGCCGTTCCTCCTGGTGCGGTGATCAGCCGGTCGGCACACAGTGCCTTCGTGAAAGCTGCACCACGGTTTGGACATATTGCTGACCTGTGAGTCTGTTCTGCTTTGTGCACGGAGGTGAATGGGCCATTCCTAGAAATGTTCTAGTGACACATTGGAAGAATGAGAAAGCCAGTCGCTTAGGTTCTGCCAGGTAGACCAAGCTAAAAGCTCAAGATAGTCTTTTGTAAAACATGAATGCAAATGTAAATGTTCTGGCGTGAAGATGTCAATACTTCTCATCTCCTTCCCTAGCCTGGTGCCCACCAGAAGCGTTGCACTGCCAGCCCCATCATATAAGCCTTGTGACTGTAGGCAACACTTGCAACACATCTGAAGACCCCTGAGTTGGGGAAGTCTGTGCTGTGCCATCGAGGAAAAGCCGAGTGACTTACAGCCACTTACAAGCTCTCTTTGACAGTTGAAATATTCAAGAAAATTAATCAAAGCTTCCTATTTGGATGTCTTGTAAGTGCCACTTACAGCCAAGTGCCAGTGGAGACTTGAACGTGCTACTGCAACGCTTGTGAAGTCTTCCGACCCTGTTCCTCCTATCTGGGAACCAGTGTGGTGCAGTGGTTAGGAGTGCAGGGCCAGGGCTCAGGCGACCCGGTGTCTAGTCCATGGAGCCCACCGGGTGACTTTGAGCGAGATGTAGACACTCAGCCTGACCCTCCTCACAGGGTTGTTGTAGAGATAAGATGGAGAGCAGGAGAATGATGCAAGCTGCTCTGAGCTCTTTAAAAAAGAAAAAGGTGGGATATAAATCAACTCAATAAATATTGCTTCACCCATAATAAAAGGGAAGGTGTAGACTGGTGCTGATGGGGCAAGTGGCAAGGAAACACTTCAAATACAGAAGTTCATTAATTGCTACAGAATTACAAAAAGCCACTGAGAAACCCGCAGGAGCCTGATAGACAGGAGGGAGGACTGCCAAGATGGTGGTTGTGATCACCAGGAGTCACAGCCAGATGGAGGCAGAAAGGCAGCCTCATCGGAGTGAAAAGTGCCATTAAGAGCGTCCAACTGGGAAGGTGTGTGGAGAAGAGGAAGCCAGCCGGCAGCAGGGGCTGAAACACCGCGGAGGAGTCTGAGCATCCGGCGCCCAGGATCGTTGCGCAGGCGGTGAGGCCGGCCTGATCCGCAAGCCACGCGTGCTGCAGCCAGGGAAGGGGCCCTTGCTGGGGTGCCTCCTGCCCTGGCTTATCCTGGGGCGGTTGGACCAGCGTTGACCCGTGCCAGTGCCTGTGCCCAAATTCCACCCTTCCTCCCCAATTATGGCTGTTCTTAGCCAAAAAAGGGAAACGGAATGAAAGGCACAAGATGCACTCACACGTTTTGTCTGCTTTGGCCCTTAGCTTTGGAGACATTTCTGCAAGCTGCACTCTGGTGATGGAAAAGGATATTTAGCCAGCACCATTTTGGATGCACTCTTTGCATGCAGAGGTAGCAGATGGGGCTGCATGGCATTGTCAATGCAGGAATGTAACAGCGGGGATTTGGAGGGCATCTCGGTTACACAGCCTATTTCTTTCTAATTTAATGTGTGAAAGAGGCATGAAAATGAAGTTCAGACAACACAGTAATTAAACTCACAGAATGAGGGTGGCTTAAATGTGGGTTATCATTAAAAAGTGGGCTGTTGAAACAAAGGTCATCGTATTGTCTGAACCCAGCCAAGAAAGTGTGGGGAACAACTCACTGTTCACACCCCAGCAACAACCCATGAG